GGATTTGATTGCTTGTGGTTAAAAACTATCCCCAAGGGGGGACAGGGGGAGGGCCCATCCAATTGGTAAGGGGGGGAATTATTTTGGATTTTCCTAATCCATTTTACGGGGTCCCACTATGATAGGAAACACCCCACTTGGGTTCCAATATAAATTTTGGGCAATGTAAGTAAGGAAAGAAGCTAAAGAAAAGGGGTAGACCCCACCGACCATGACTAGACCATTTTTTTTCTTTATAATTGTTTCGTTTTTTTACCTATTTTCAACTCCTGCATTATTTTGGAAAGGCATGTGGAGGAAAAATCGACCTTTTATCACTTAAGGATTTATTGTATGTGGGATATCCCTCCCCCATTTAGGTTTTCAGGGAGTCTTCTGGATGGAGATTTATTTTGCCCCATTAGCCTTAACCCACGGGCAAAGCTTATTGGGACGGGGGTAAGGGGGCCGCCTGGGGGTCGGCGTATGCTTTAGGGCCCTTCCCAAGCCATGTTTTTTGCAAAACAGGGAGGAAAGCTTTTCTCTTTATCGTGACCCTGGTTTATCTTTTTTGCTCTCATTTGCTCTAACCCCATGTAAACCGTTCCCTCTGGGGGGGGAACCTTTTCTCCCCAGGGCGACCGTCGCCCTCTAGTGCCCGTATTCCCCCCCAGGGGGGCTGCTTTTCCCCACGTTGTCGGGGGGGCCTTTCTTCCCAGAGTTAATGGGAGATCTTTACCCTAGCGGGGGAATGGGGGGGGGGGATTCAAACCATTGGGGCTTTATTCCAGGCCCAGGGAATGGGAAGTATTCCAAGGGGGGAATGGGGCTGTGTATTGGTTTTTGATCCTTCTCCCTGGGGTTGGTGTCTTCCCCCCAGGGGGTTTTGGGTCTCCCTGGTAAAAATGGGGAATTGGTCCCCAGAGGGGGCGGGGGGGGCTATTTGTCGGGGGGACCCGGGTTTTTCTTACAGCACCCAGGAGGTGAGGGTTTGTAGGGTTATCATAACAACCTGGTTTTCCATTATTTCCCTTTTTTCTTCATCCAGGGGGAACCTTCCTTTCCCCCCAAAAGATTGGCAACCTTTTTGCCCACCATTTTTTTACCCTCCCCCCAAAAACTCCCTGTTTGGGGGTGGATCAGGGGTTTATGCTTTTTTTTTAGTTTTGGGTGGTGTTAGAGGGGATTAGGTGGGCCAGGCTGGAAGCTTGAAAATGTTCCTTTGATTGGTTGAGGATATTGTTTGATTCGGGCAAAGACAGAAAACATTTATATCTGCCTAATTTGGTTAGAAGGTAACAGGGGACAAGGGGAGCCATCCAGTGATGTTAGGTCTTGTTTGAGTGAATTTCTTGAGGCGCTGGCTTATTTAATAAGGATTGTCGTCAAAATAATGTTTTCACCGTTTTTATAACGGTTTTTTCGATAATAGTTTTTTATGGCCCATCAGTGGGAGTGATTTACCAAATATGTAGTCTTAGTGTAAGCAAATAACAGCGCGACTTTTTTTTTATTTATGTTAGCTGGGTGTGTGAGTAAGTGTGCCTAATCTAATGTGTGACCGGTTTGGGATACAACATGATAGGGCTGAAGGAACCTTATTAGATTCTTGGAATAGATTACGTTCACTTTTTTGTGGCAATCGCCGATATGTGTCCCTATAACCACTAGTTCTCAATATTTAAATGCCACAGAGTGTTTCTGCAGGCTGAGTTTCTTGGTAGCCTGCAGTCATAATCAGAGGAGTTTCTTCAGGAGTGTGTGAGGTGTTTGGTGCAAGCACTGCTGTGAGTGTTAGGTGGGGGGGGGGGGGGGGGGGTGCTGCCTATAGGGGGCCAGCACTGTCCAGTCTGTGGCAAAAGTGAGGATTTCACGCTAGACTTGTAGCCAATGCCGTGTTACTAATCTGACCGGCTTCAAAGGGCCCTGGAAGGAGCCCGGAGCCCACCAGCGCCTCTTCCCCCTCTGACTCACCCCTCTCTGCTCTGGCTAAGCGCGGAAGTCTCCCCTCCTTTATGGGCCTCCACACAAGTCTAAACGCAACAATGCTGCAGCTCCTCAAACGGGGGGCCTCATCCTCCTCCTTTAGCCCCCTGTCATCCTCTCTCAACTCTCCTCTCCTCATTCAGTTACACTTTGAACATGTGGCTCATCATTTTGGAGCCGTTCCACGATCAAAATAATCTCCCCCGCCTCCCCTTTTCGCCCCGTCGTTCTTATTTTCATTCATCTGTTATGTGAATTGCTGACTGACCCGTCTCTGTGTTTTTTTAAAGTCTAACAGTACTCATTCTAAAAACAGAACAAAGGAAGAAGGTCCCTCTCTTTTTGGTGTTTGAGCCTCATGTGTTCTGACAGCGTTGTTTGAAGTTTCTGCTCCAGACACTGGCGGCAGAAAAGTGCATGTGGCAATTTGATGAATGCCGTGCATGCTGACCCCTGGGAAAGAAGATGTTGTGTGTGTGTGTGTGTGTCTATGAGTCATACACCAGTAGCACAATCACCACAGCGCTCATCCAGTTAAGCGCTTGGATAGAGGATCTCGTTTGCTTGTGTATATGTGTGTGTGTGCAGATAAATAAATTGTGTACATAGACATCATGCCCTTCATGTTCCATGGCGCAGCACCAATCAATAACTGGGGGGCGGCCGAATGGGGGGTGCAGGCATGAAGTGCCGACTGTAGTTCTTTCTATCAGCTCACTGCTAATTACGTTTCATCACTCACTTTTAGTAATTGGCTTTTTCTCATAGCGCACGAAGGGGGAAGTAAGATGAGGAGAGACGTTTGGGAGGTAGTGTTCGGTGGGCTCACACTCAAACATCCCAAGAAGCGCAGGCAATCCATACGTGACATCAGATTAAATGAATACATGAATTCCAATGAAACTCGCCCCTTGCTGTTTTGACAAATGGGCCCAGGGGACTCAGCTCAGCACATGATGCCTTGTCTCAGCACTTAAGCCCAGAGACAAGGTATGATGGCCAGGCTTGGTGAAGGCAATGAGGGCGGTCTGACCCCTTACCCCTCACCAAATTAAAATAAAGAAAATATTGCTTCAGCTAGCTAGCTCCCACATTTCAGAGCCTTGCATTTTCAGATGTCGGTCAATTCCACTGGTGTGTGTTCATGTATTGACCGGTTTTCTGATATTTGTATTCATGTTGCAATCCGTCCATATTGAGATTGTACAACCTAACCGCACAAGGTGTACATAAATGTAATGAGATTTAAATAAGATCAAGAATGAAATCCATGCTTATACAGAGTCACTTTATCGTTTATTATTGTAGTTTATGCATTTAGGTAATGACTGGACTACATAAGTGCACTCTAAAAAAAACTATGTATAGTACTCTCCTAACAATGTTGCAAAGTACAATACAATAAAATAATAGATCATTATAAAGAAAGAAAGAAAATTGAAATTGAAAGAGATCAAATGTGTTTTTTTTTAAGAAAAACATGCGAAATTAAAAAATATATATAATAAGCACTGAATAATACATTAATTAGTTGTATATACTTTGGGACATGGTTGTTTAAAGCTTTATAAGGCAAACATATAGATTAGGAGGAGTTTCAGCTGTTTACTTGAACCAGTGATATTCCAGCAGCAGTATTTTGGACCTATAAAAGGCAAAAAAGGAGTCCTGGATACCACCCACGTACGGGGCATTTCAGTAATCAAGACATGAAAATGTAAATCATAGACAACCCTGTGTATCTTCAAAGGATAAGAAGTATCTGATTATTGAAAGAAACATGACTGAACAACCTTCTCTACTCCCGTGGTAAGGCCTTACACCTGGTCAGTTAAAGTGACCCGCAGCATGTTTGTTGTTGTTTGTTTATTTGGTGAGTCAGGGTTTGCTGTGGTCGGATTGCACAGAGCAACATGTTGACGTGCAACAAGAGACGGTTACAAAGTAGAAACAGAAAGGAGAGATGAGTGTGTCAACAACGAGTGGAGAGATACAACGCACTGATAGACTCAGGGCTGGCTGTGTAAACAGATGGAGGCGCTGATAAGCACCCCCGACCTGCCTGCCCATGCCTTCCTACTCGGACCACTAACATGGTCTGTAGCTGCCTGCAAGCGTACGCACAGATTAGGGTTTTAAGCGCGTCTATGTGTTATAATACCGCCTTTGTGTGGACATGAATCAAGCTTGCTGCCTGTGCAAGAATTATTCATTTGAGACACTGTGGATCTCTAAAATAAACACGTAGTGAGACAGTGATTGAAATCAGCGGCGTGAAATCACCAGTATTTAACAACCGGGATGAGGAAGTAGTTAATAGTTAGTATTCACCAGTCATCTTTGAGCCTTTATTTCCTGCCGTGGGTGGTCCACTGTTTGTTTTGGTGTGGTGTGACTGGACAATGCCAGCCTGTGTGACCGGCCAGCAGGGCACAAAGGCCATCATTGAGATCAGCACCAGAGTGGCACTGGGAGCGGGTCTGCGCCACAAGCCACCGGACGGCAGAAAGAGGGCATTGACACCACTGCGGTCACACTGTTGAAGTCGTTTCCAAACTTTGGTCAAGTGACTCTATGTAAATGATCTGTAGGTTAAAGGAAAGGGAAACTCATAAGGCCTTCATTTGATATAAAAGTAGATTGTAATTTGGAGATGGCAGACATCCACCAAGGCTAAATGCCTCTTTGCGCGATGTTGTCAAAAATGAAAAATAATTTGCGGTCTAGCCCTGTGATTTGGAGCCTCTTAAAAAATAAATTGGGTTCTTTCTTGGGCCATGCTACATCATTCCACGAAATCTAGTAATAATCAGCTGACAAACAAACTGGACCTAAACATAACTTCCTTGGAGAATGAGTTCTTGAACACTATTGCACATGCTGTTTTGTTGTAATTCTCGACTCATTCATAATATATAGTTATTTTTTCTGTCTTACAGCTGGTCATTTGGGGTGCTGATGTGGGAAATCTTCACCCTAGGGGGCTCTCCGTACCCTGGCATCCCCGTCGAAGAGCTGTTCAAGTTGCTCAAAGAGGGACATCGCATGGACAAGCCCGGAAACTGCACCAACGAGTTGTAAGTGTCTTAAATTGGCTTTATATATCCCAAATCACCCAAACACACAATTAGCTCTTGGACCCTGACTCTAAAGCCATCCCATTCTCCATGAGATCCATGACTCCCGGGCTCTGTGTCCACTCTGTCGGGCCTCTGCACAGCTGTGACTGGCTGCTATCAGTGTCCTCATTCACAATAAGTCCTCTGCAGGCAGCGGACAATGGCACAGCTCTGTTAGGATGCAACACTGAGAGGGTCGATGGAAAACAAAGTACACAGGCTCAAAGGCATAAACACTGAGAGGCATGTTTAAAATGAGATAGATTCAGAGAACACCTGTTGCTTTTATTAATAATTTGACATGGAGACCTAAGTTCAGAGGCATAAATCTTTCAGCAAATTTTGAAATTTGAATACAAGTGAGAAGAGGAGTGGCACAGCATGTGTTTTGACAGGCCTGCAACACCTCCAGGAATCACTCTGGTCTCTCTCCAGTAATCGACTATTCTCTATGAGTAAACTGTACCTTTGTTTTTCTCTCTCAGGTACATGATGATGAAAGACTGCTGGCATGCCATCTCATCCCATAGACCCACCTTCAAGCAGCTAGTAGAGGATCTGGATCGCATCCTCACCCTCAACTCCAACGAAGTGAGTGCTGCTCTTTCATTCTTCTTCACACTAAATCCATGAAGTTCCAGGATTCACGGTGGTCCCATCATGCTACACAAACTCTGACATTTCCTGGCGAATAGGAGTATGACATTTCATAACAATAAAATAATATGACATGATACATTCCTATGCACAGTTACACGTTTCTCAGGCCAAAGTAAATCCCGTTCTTGCCAGTGCTTGTAGGATTCAGTGGAATTTTGATGAAAGCTTAAGCAGCATTAGCATCCTAGTTGCTGACTTAAGGCCTAAATGGTGAGCAAAGAAATGGCCGGTTGATTTGATCCAGGCCCAACATGGCCGCTATGGCCCAGTGCAGTTGGCCGATCATCACATTCATGCCTTGCTCCCCACAATAGCCGCCATTTCTTTCCATTCCCCTTCCTGTCTCATGTGATTTCCGAGTGCAGGCCTGAAAAGAGGCCGTCGATGGAAAGCTGTCAAGACTCGTCTGCTCTTGGAGCTGGAACTTTGTGAATTTATGCCAAAAAAGCCCAACTTTGAGTTTGAACTTTTGAAATGTAATAAAGCAGTCTTTTCTTGCCTTTTTGTACCCCTCCTTCTCTCCCTCTGCCCCAAACCGCTGGCAGATGTGGAGGTCTTTAGTAATGTGAGCCTTCTCATGTTGAGCTGGGAAAATGGAAGCCAGCTCTCATTTTCTGAAAAACCCCAAGAACTCTTCCTCCTCACAACTAGTCCCAATAACAGCCCTGAAAGCAGAAGGGGGAAAAAAAAGGTTTCCTCAGCCGACATGAAAAGTCTAGAACAGCTTTAGAGAACTGGTCCAAGTAAAACATTTATAACAGGATTTTTTGGGTTTAGATCTCTCTTTATTTTCATTTTTGGGGTGTGCATTGTGTTCTGCCAGCTTCTTGTTCCTAGCCATCATAAAGTGTATATGTCTGGTGTTTCAGATGTTGGATTTATTTGAACTGAACTGATTGAACGCCTATCCACATAAAACCATTAGTAGTGGACCTAATCCACAGCTCGGCTGACCCTGCTATCTTCAAAAGCTCCCCGGATTAGCCTGCAGTCCAACATTCAATTTAATACCTATTATTCTTGCAAATATTTTCATACAGTATCCAGTTTAAGATTATTATTTTTTCTTCTGTTCCATAAACCCTTCCAGGGTGATTTGGTATGGCCTGGATAAATATCCTGATGAAGGATACTCTCTCACCCTCCTCTGGAAAGTCCCCGTCTTGTTGACTGCACTATATTTATGTTCTCCTTTTTGCTCTGGGTCTTTTGCCTCTCACTCCGCTCTGAGGCGTCTTTCCCCTTTTGTAACATATGAGCTTGTGTGTGAGCATCCCTTAACCCTCTCTCTCTCCTGTCTGTGTCTCCAGGAGTATCTGGACCTGTGCGCCCCAGCAGAGCAGTATTCCCCCAGCTTCCCAGACACTCGCAGCTCCTGCTCCTCCGGTGACGACTCCGTGTTTTCCCACGATCCCTTACCGGACGAGCCCTGCCTCCCCAAGTACCAGCACATCAACGGAAACGTCAAAACATGAGCCCCCCACCCATCCTTTCTACCCAAGCCTTACCCCTTGACGTCCCAAAACACACGTTGCACACGTACAAATCCTCCCATCTCCTGCCCCCCCATCACCCCCTGGCTCCCGGTGGACTAATGGACCCAGATAGGACTGGGCTGGTGGCAGCGCTGCTGTCACACACTCATACTGCCATGCACACACACACTATGTGCTCACATGAGGTCTTAAAGGAGAGGACAGGGACCCTACAGAAGCTGTTTTATATTGACTGAATGAATTGACGTTCCTTGGGGACCCCCCTCCTCCTCTTACTTCATATAAACACACAGACTTCTCAGTGCTGTTCTCATGTTTGTGCCCGGAGGTTTCTACAATCGATGACGTTACTTGTTTGGTGATCTCATTCCAGAGGCTGGCATTCCAAGACTTTTATTTGCTCCTGGAGGAATGTATGGACCGATATGAACTTTGAAACAAAAACAAGGGACAAGAAGAGGACGATAAATAGGAAATGGACTGCGAGACAGAGCTTCAACTAACAAAACAGAGGAATAGAAGGAGAGTACATATAGGAACGGCTCTCATGTTTATTTTGTAATATTGATGCATTTCTTTTTCAGTTCTCCTAAACCTTCCCAATTATTCTGGAGAGAAAAATACACAGTATAATGTATAGTGCTGGGTATATTTGTAAATATATTCAAAAATGTATAAATATATATTATATATTTACAATGAATTATTTTTTGTATGGACTCTGAAATAACCCCAACCCTTCCTACCGTACTTTGAGTCTGACGCAGGCATTTTAACAGGTTATGTGTCCTATATTTCTCTTCACACTCACACATACAGACGAAGACACACAATTTAATACACAAAAACACCTGTTTTACTCGGACTCAGTAACACAGTTGAGTATTGGCTTTCAGGGACTGAGGTAGCATGTTAATTTATTGACTTATGTTTTATGAAATGATCAAAAAAGTCTGTAAAAAAAGAACAAAAGCAACATGGCAGAAATGATGACATTAATGATGCAGATAATACATAAATAATCCATTACATTTATGGTAATTTAAAATGATCTTTCGGCAGTAACAGAAGAAGCTATTTTTAGTTGGTTTGAAAGATCCAGGGTTTGTAATTTTTATATATGAATGTGAATATTAAGTTAAATTTTTAAAAACTGTAAATTTTATAGTCAGCTAATCCCTTTCTTATGTAGATGTTGACGCCATTTCTATCCAGTCATTGTACTCTTTCTAATGCTTTGCTTTAGGAAACGAGATTTATTTCTGGATATTTATATATGATTGACAGAAAAAGATTTTGGAATACTAGCAATCCTTCCCTGACTTAGACACAATATAGACTCTAAATTTATTTTACAGAATTGAAAGCTGAAAAACAAAGTATTAAATAATTCAAGTGTTTTTTCTCTTTTTCTACTGGACCAACTTTAAGATGTTCTTTTGCAAGTGTTCATGCTACATTTGCGAAATAAAAGATGGAAACATATATTCTTGTCCTGATCTCTGACTTTGATGGGTGTTGAGTTAGGCTTCTGGCAAAAAAATGAGGGGAAAAGCTGAATTTGTTTATTGTTTCTAAGTTGGATGAATGAGTTATCATTCACTGCACATTCTTCTGAGCTAAATCTCCTTTTCTTAGTAGCTGATATGGGCCGAGATGATGGTGCTGTCATTACTAAGTACTCAGTGCTCAGTGTTTTTCTTGGATGCTTCAAATCTTTACTTAATATGTGAGATGAGGGATTTTTCTACCATATTTACAATTCATTTTGAGAAACTGGACAACTAAGCAGGGACTCAGTAAGTGGAAAGAATACATTTTTTAGTTGTTTTATTAGGCGAAACTGCTAAACTCAGCACAAACAGAGAATACATGTGATTAAGCTAGGTACTGAATTCATGCCATTGACCAAAGCAAATTTGTTAACAAACAGGGAACTCATCATGTGTATGGCCCTGTGTCTGGATCTGTAGGACTTTGATCAGACAAAGAGTCTTTGTTAGCCTAACGGCGGCAGACTGATTAGCTGATTGATGTCCCGTTTTTCTCTTATCAGAACAGATTTAATTCAACATAGTGGGCAGTTGATTTATCTAATTTGATGTAAGTTAATCAAAGTTGATCTATGAACGAGGGCGATTGATAGTGGCAGCCGTGGATGTGGCAGTATGTTGTAATCGTGGATGCTTATCAACCAAGTAGCAAGAATGTTCTCACAGCATTTACATTACATTACATGTCATTTGTTAGACGCTTTTATCCAAAGCGACTTCCATACATTCAGTACTGTGAACAATCCCCACAGGAGTAATTTGGGGTGAAGCGTCTTGCCCAGGGACACAACGACATGCTGACTGCAGTGGGACTCGTACTTGCTATCCCCTGATTCCAATTCCAGCACACTATCCACTGAGCCACAGTCTCCCATAGTAGGCAGTACGACAAAGATAAAGCCAGCCATGGCTTTAGGCAGAGCTTGTGAAGCAGCTGTATTTATTTCATTTATATTAATATTTATCATAAGCAAAACTCTTTTCCATGCTTATAAATCAAGAGGCATAGAATAAAAAAAGTATATAACGCAATGCTAGAAGCTCTATGAGCCTGCATTAAATAGTGGGGCTTTGAGCTAAATGTTAATGTCAGCATCCTAACAAATGTGTTAGCAGGTTGTTAGCACTTGTTTCAGAGAAGGGCAGCCGGAGAGGACTGACCACTGCCTAAGCCTTTTCCTTTATTAAAAAAAGGCCGGTATTCTCTTTCTGTGTAGGATCTGCAGCAAAATGAAAAGAGTAGTTCCTCGGATCATACAGCCCTCCACCAACTTTCATGAAAACCGGCCCAGTGGTTTTCTTGTTATCCTGCTGACAGACACACAAAACACAAATCTAAAAACATAGCCTCCTCTGTTGAGGTAATAAACACCAAACACAAGCACAGGTGTCGATAGGAATGTCATACTATTTCAGAGTATTTTTTTCAAATTAAGCGTTGAAATATCACCAGTTATTGCATCCCGATATCAACATAAATATTGAGGGGGAATTAACCAAAGTCATTTGAATTAATCATCTGGAGACCATTATTGTCAATATTTGTTTGCAAATCTATCTAATACATGTTGATTGTAAGAAGATCGACCTGCTAGTGGCGCTATGTAAAAGTCAGGGCCATCAATTTACCATCAATTTTGAGTAATTGACGGACCAAACCAACAAACAGACGGACAACTAAACATTGAATACATGCATGCTGTGTTTTACTAAATGGGTAGTTATATATAATCTGAAAATGTGAACATGTATTCTCATGGAATATTGACTCGGAAAATCTAGAATGAGAACAACAACAGCTTTTGGCAAGGTGAGTAATTATTTACAGAAAAGTGCGTTAACATAGATCTTGATCCCTCCATAACCAGGTTTGAACTTGTTCTGAATAAAAACACACACACACACACACACACACACACACACACACACACACACACACACACACACACACACACACACACACACACACACACACAGAGACACCAGTTCCAAGACTTCCTCCAATCGACGTGTTGCCTCATGTCTCCGGAAGCTGAAAAGGGATTGGAGGGAAGAATCTGCCAGAAAAACATTCCTGTTTTTCCATAGAATGAGGGGGGAGAAAGCAAGCACAGCCCTGGAGGATTGGAGGAGGATTGGAAAGAAAGAGTGGCAGGATAAACCACAGCACCATACACCCTCATTAAAGGGGGGGGGTGGGGGGCGGACAGAAAGGTCGGCCGGATATCCACACTTGCAATTGCACACTTTTATCAGAAAGACTGTCTATTGTACTGTAGGCTAATGGCAGGCAGGCAGGGAGCAGGGAGGGGTCAACTCCATGGAGACCAAATAGAGGATTGGGTTGTTCCATCTTGACAAAATGCCCTCTGAGCTGCCATTGCATTTATGTTAGGTAAATACATATTATCTGATGTCAGTAAAGTGACGCAATGGGTATTTTTTAAAGGAGAAGCAAGCTCTTTCAAGAGACACATTATCAGTTCTGTTTACATATTGATAATGATGTACGGGTAAATAAATAGATGGGTTACCTATGACCTCAGTCGTCAGTCGGTGACCATGTGAAAACAACTGGCAACTGATCTGGAACAGATAACTCACAGAAAAGCCTTTATTTGGGGCTTTCAAGCAAACCACAGCATATTTGATAGCATGTATTGTTATACAAATATATTAGTCAAGCATTTTAACGCTATTCCTCTCTATTGAATTTTAAAATATATCTAGTGTTGCATTTTTTTAAATGGGAGTTTTCTTTTACTCTTAGCAAGAAATTAACTATTTCTATATTATGAAAGAATACATCATTCATAGCCCGATTTAGAAAACATATCATTTCTAAAATCATTGCGAAAATTGATTTTAATTTTTGCCATTTGACTCCATTTCTTCTGACCCTCTATAACAAAGTGAAATAATACTTTTGAATTAGACTTTAACCACTGTTTACTTTTCTTGTACATACAGTAACCGTATTCATATTTGCACATATTTCAAAGGAAAATGTATTTTTCGCATATTTAAACATACAATTACAAAGAGCTTGTAATACAAAGAAATAAGGGTTTTGATTTTAGTCATCAACTTGGGATGTTTCATTGGGATATCAATTACTTACAAAACACAAATCCCTTTTTTATGCATACAAATTGTACTTTTAAATATAAGATTAAACTTGTCCTCCCACAGGTTGTATATCAAAAACTATAACTTTTATTTGTATTACAGGTTCTGCAATTGGAAAACGTTCTGATGTTTTCTCCCC